CTTCTATTATTGGATTTGTTAAAATATTCTATGATTCTTCTTTGTCTTACTTCTGTTTGGGGGTATTCTTGCTCTACGTATCAGAGCTACAGTCTTCATAATTAAGTGCTGCAGGGATGATGCATTATTGAAGGCCAACCAGGAAGTCAGCATCCACAGAAAGGCCAATGGGATTCAATTCATTGGATGCTGGATTGTTACAGAGAATAAGCTGAGTGGCAAACAAGCTTTTATGATTTTTGAAGCGTAGCTACGATCATATAAAGCTAACGGTTTTAGGACTCATTCATGCGCCACTTTTCTTTTGGGGGGATGCAAACAGGAAATATAATGTTGCCATAGTTGCAGTGACGCAGGACCCAATGTCAAAAGTAGGCCGATTTTTCAAGAAGGAAACCTTCAAAAACCTTAAATGTTCATTCTCAGAGAAAATGCATCGTGTCTGTGTGTTCAGATTAAAGCTGTGACTCAGAAGAGGAGAGGTTTTTGTTTTTTTTTTGGTGCAAATTGCTACAATCGGGTGCTAAAGATTTTTAAGTACCATAATTGCCTCCATGAGCCGTGTGTCACAGCCGCTGCTGCATCATTTCAGTACATTTAATTAAGACAAGCATCAGATGAAACTGAAATTCACAAAACGGGAAAAAATAAATAAAAAAATACTAGAATGAATAAACACTTACACGCTAATTGAGTTCCCATTTCACCCTCCAGAGTGTGAACATGCGTAGTGCTTGTAAACACGGCACAGCCCGCTAGACAACAATATTATCGAGCACACACAACATATCTGACACTACCGCCCCGCTCGTCTCACTCAGCGTTATCTGCCGATGTAAGCGGGGATCCGTCTCCATGGAATTAAGAGGAATAAAGCAATGACTGGACTGAAGATTCTGCAGTGATGTGCATCAGCGCCGGCTCTCTAACGGAGACGTCCTGTGACTCCAGCTGCATAAGGTTTCCATCGATGAGCCTCCGGAAGATAAGCCCCGGACTGAAGACGACCTACTGATCCGCTTCCTCTCGCCGAATGAACTTTTACTGACGGCGGAGGAATTTGTCAGAGTAGTTTTTTTGGGGTGATCTACCCCTCCGTGCACTGCGGGGTTTTTTTGGCAGCAGCTTGTAAAAACAAACAGAAAACTGTAAACATTGTAAACAGATGTGTACGCTTTCAGTTTTCTTATCCCGGGTCATGCTTCAAGTTTATGTGAAGCGTCTTGTTTGTGTTTCCTGCTATTTATAGTCTTTGTTTATGCCTCTCTGCGTGAGAATATTGTCTTGTGTACATTTTTATGAAACAATAAAAGAAAGCATATTCACAGCTCGACCCAAAAGATCTGCAAACATCCCCATCGACTCCTCGACTCCCCGCCCCCCCGTCTCTCCAGTAAATAAAGCCTCTCCCTCGAGCTCACACATTTTCTTAATTCCCCTCAGGAGCGGCAGAAGAAAGAGCCGAGGTGAACCCTCGCAGTCCTCGCTCGCGGTGGACCTCATTTTCTCTGTATCCCCTGAAACTTTGATGTCCAGCCACAGAAGGGCTTTGAAAAATAGGGTCTGCAATCTCCCCACCATGACCAGGCAGAGGATTAGCAGAGCACCCGCAGGACGGAGGGGAGAGAGAGGACGACGAAGGAGGAGGAGGAGGAGGAGGAGCAGGAGGAGCGGGGGGGCTCTCCCTCCTGTGGGGGATTAACATGCTGCTAAGGAAGCAGAGAACAGACCCCCTTTTTCATGAAGTCTGCAGAAACCAATTTACAGCAGAGAACTGGTGGTGGTGGGGGATTTTTATTTAGATCATATAATAATAGAATTAATAACAATAACCGCAACAAAAATACTAAGAAAATACAAAATAATAATGAATGAATAAGTCAGTACATGTATATATATTTGAATTAGTTATCACTCACGCTCATTAACTAACCACTGGTTTGGGATCAGTATGTATCTGCAGGTATCGGATCGGTTGCATCTCTAATCAAAGGTGTTGATTAGAGATGCTGATCTGGACATCAGACCTGATACGATCGGTCACAGGGGAATCACCCTGGAAAGTTGCTTTTCCCCTCGTGAGGAAAAACAAGAGATTACTCCGCTCCTCTCTCCTCTGTGCTCCAATATTTGCACTGCACTCTGGACTAGAAAATACCGTAAAACACACTCACACGCTCTCAATTAAAATACATCAAAAAGCTAAATATATAATGTGTCTAAAATGTGTGGTGTAATGCTAAACATCTGTATTATTGTCAAGGAGCGGGCGAGAAGAGGAGGCCTCTTTAGAGCGTCCTTTCACAAAGAGAGAGTGAATCCAGGGAGGTGATCATGTGACACCAGTTACAGCAGACTGTAAACCAACTGCTGGAGTATCAACAATATCTACAGCCCGTACTATCGATAAGCAGCAACTAGTCTCACCAGTGAGAAACAATCGGCCTCCATTTAAAGAAAGAGAATAAAAGGCATGCGTACAGTGCTGCCTCCCCACCAGTGCTTCTCAAGTAATGGGGTCTTCTTCCTTATCGGTGCCTGAGAGGAGCTCGAGGACCTTGCCCTTCATCCCTTTTGTTGTTACAGAGTCTCTTGTGGAAGCTGTAGATTGGGCGCGAGGCGTGGGCGAGCGCACATCAGACTTTGAGCGGTCTTAATAAAGCTCCCCTCTATCCACCCCGGAGATCTCCTCACCCCAATTATACGGCTGACACCTCTACCCTCCTCCGTCGCCTCTTATTTCTCACCCCCTCCCCTCCCCTCCCCTCCTCCCACCTCACAATCCAGCTCCCGGCTCCGATCATGGCCCTCCCTTTGCTGCACTCCAAAGCCCCAGAGGCCCGGTCGAATCCTCGGGCTGCTGGTGGCAATTGCTTCACGGTCTGCTGCCCGTTCACCGGGAACCTAAACGTCACTCAACAATCCGCCAGACAACACAGTGCTTTCACCAGCAATTCCTTTTGTGGCAATTAAACAGGATGTTTTATTGGAGGAATTTTCATCTTTGCAACAAAAACCTGTGACCTGTCGATGTCACCCAACCCAATAAATGAGTTACTCCTCATTTGTTTTTGACTTTTTTTTTCCACAAAAAGTGAGCAACACGTGTCAATATCTGCTCCTGGCTGAAAGATTGCAGTTTGTTGGAATCCATCCACTTCAAAGTGCGTGTTTTAGAGGTCCGGATAAGTCCTCGTTCAAGAAGAAAACAGCACATTATTTTTCGTCTGTATAGCTACAAATGCTGGATGAGAGCAGCCTGCACAGTGAGGCGGCGACCTGTGGAGGCACGCCTGGAAGATTCTCTGACAAGAAAAGAAAAAAGGTCTGATAAGTTTTCTTTCAGGATTATCAAATCAATGTCTGTCGAAAAATAATCAGAAACAATGTTGTTGATTCTGTTAAAGTAACTTTATAATTCATAAATCTATTTGCAGGTCTTCTGTGATGCTTTTGTAGATCCTTATACCCATCATGCACTGTTTCTCTGACATGTTAAACACCATTCATTGATCAGCCTAGAAAACCATCATCACATTAATCGATCATGAGAAACAAACTTAGAGCTCTGAGGATCCCATCGTGCTTCGGTTGAAGGCACACAAACCGGAATAATTTGACTTCTGCCACACCGACCGGAAACTTTTTTCCAACGAACAAAAAGCTCAGCGTGTCCGTGAGTCGCTTGTTTACCGGCCTCGGTTCACTTGCGTTCCAAAACAAAAGCAAATTAGAACACGCCAGAAAAGGTTAACTTCACACCGAAGTAGATGAGCCGCACGCGTGATCGCTCGCACTAATGCAACACGGTGACGACGACGGCCAACGCGTATGAAGGACGAGCCGCTTTGTCTGGTTTTAACTTCGGATGCTTTCAAGGTCAAAGCAGGCCTGCATCTGGCCAGCCATCTGCCTCCAGCCGTCCCACGAGGCGTCCTGTCATCGGCCCCGTCCTCTACTGTCCACATTCGGGCTCACTGGGGAAACGATAGATACCAACAGCTTCTGAGCGACTCTACAGGTGTGTGACGCATTTCTGCAGTCGCTTCCCCCTTTTGTTGACTCCGAGAACCCTCACCCACGCCGGACAGGTGTGCGCACTTCATTAGTATGCAACGGACGCCAGTCACGTTTAATTATGGAGCCCAAAATCACAAGTTAGTGGTGAACTTTACAAACTGTGCAGCATATGGCACCAATTATCCTGAGACCACTGATTCCAATAAATAAAGAAAATAGACAAAACCTCACAGGTAGCAACGGGGGAAGTGTCCCTTTAACAGGACGGACAGACGGACATGTACAGCGTAGATAAACAGCTATGAACTACAACCAAACCACCGGAGCTCATACTAGGACCACTGTGGATGGAAGTCATCAGAGACCAGTTCTCCTCCCGATACTCGTTCATCAGAAGATGGAATAACTGGTTTAAGTTACACTTAAAGTTCCAGAAACGGTGTTTTAGAATCTGCAGTATTTCTCGATACCTTTAAATAATCCTGATTTAATAGGGATGGGAGATGATCAGATTTTGTCAACACCACTTCCATTATGGATTCCTCTTATCGGTCCGATTCTTCACCGATTCCCTTAATGGGTGGAAAAAGAAGAGACTTCAGCCACACTTTGTTCATCACCTTCCCTGTTATTGTCATCTATAGCGGTTATTTGAATAAAAAACACTCATGATTGTATTTTTGTTGGGATTGGTAGTTTTAATTATGCATCATAAGCTGTATAGAGCGCGTGATAGGAAGTTAAACATTCCATAATTACCTCTTTAATATCTATTTTATATTGCTGGGAAAACATCTCCTTCAAACAGATGTATTAGTGTTTCTTGCAAAAAACTACATTTGAAGAAATCACGATGACGTTATAATTTACTTCCGCCCGATAGTGATTTTTACTAACTAGAGCTTGAACGCATCAAAATGTAACTCGATGTTACCTCCGTACGTTAGCGGTTAGCTCCGTTATTTGGCCAAGCAGGACTGTGTTGCCCACCGGCTGCTAGCTGCATCAAGCTAACGGTAGCTAGCTCCTCCTCCTGCTGATTTCAACGCGGATCTAATAATCACAGAGACGTGCAAGTCCGAGGAACCGGTTCATAAGTCCCATAATGAGCAACCGTTAAAGTTCTTCTTGTTCTCGTTATTCAGAGTTCATGAAACACAACTGACCCGATTTATCTGATGACTGTAGACCGATTAGATGTAATTGATAGCAACCTGGCAACGTGGATGTAAACCTCACAAATCTCACCGTATTCATCAACTGAGCTGACTTCAAACCGATGAAAAAAAAAAAGAGCGGACAGAAACACAAACACAGAAAGCTTTTCATGTGAAACAACCACAACGGATCCAACTGGCAGAAGAATGGAGCGCGTGCTAGAGTAGAGCCCCATCGAGTAACAAACCTTTAAAAGGGTACTCGACGACCCAACACCGCACGATGAACAGAGAGCACGATGCCTCTGCTCCTCGAGCTCACTGCGAGCCATGTGGTTCCGATAGCGTCAGCGGGTGTTGAACTGAGTTTCACCTCGGGTCGGAGGGAAAAAAACTCTTCACGAAAGTGTGCCACATATCAAAAAAGCTAATTTGTGACATTTGATTAAAACGAGTAGACAGATAATTGAGTGGAAGGTTTCCAATTTAAAAAAGCTGCTCCAGTAGCAGCGTTCCCGCACAAGGATCCATTAACGGAGTGTGGACTCGCTCTGACTCGAATGTAATGAGACAATCTAAACACTTGAAATATCAGCGAACGGGAACTCCAAAGTCTCCGCAGGTCAAATCTACAACTTTGTAAACTGGCACAGGTTGTACTTCAGAAACGAACAGCGTTGTTACTTTACCGTCGCTTCCAAACAGGGATCCTCCGAGCAGGTGAGTACAGCCGGTCGGTGCAGGCTGGTTTTAAGACAGCAGCCGGCAGAGTATCTGTGAAGGACAAAAGGAATCAGTGTTACACCTGTGACACGATGCAGGACAGTGACTGTCTGACAGCGATGGAGCATCTGAGGCTTCTCACTGGTTTCAACAGACGACGCTACATCACCCCCAAAACCTGTCTCCTCTCCATCGGCTCCCGGGTCCTTTTAGGATTGATTTTAAGATTTCACTGATCACGTTTAAAGCGTGTCTGGGTTTGGCCCCGAAATATATAGAAGAAATGTAGACCCCCTATGAGCCAGCTCTCAGCCTCAGATCCTCAGGTGGGGCCCCTCTGGCTGTTCCAAAGTCGAGGCTCACAACTAAAGGTGGCCGTGCTTTTGCCATCAGGACCCCTCGGCTTTGGGACGAGCTGCCTGAGGAGACGAGGCTTTGAAATCTCTTCTTAAAACACATTTTTACAAACTGGCTTTTATCTGAAAAAACAACTTCCAGCACCGGCTCCTTCAAATGTTTAAATGAACCACATCAAATTCAAAATGTTGTCATATTATGCTGAACTCTAAAAGTCCAAACTATGAATACAAACACTGGATACATCAGACACTTTCATCAGGAAAACCAGAATGTGACGTGAAAATGTAGCTTTGAACTCAGGGGAAGAGACGCGCTTTGTGATGTTTGCACGACAACAGGTTGCATTCGCGAATAAGTGAACAAAATCTTCCGACAAATCCGAGAGCTCAAATCCGATGATGGCGTCTCAGCTCACAGTCTGCTCCGAGGGAAGATGTCTTCACCTCAACTAAGCTTCATGTAATATCACAACAAGAACAACAAAAACACAATTCATTCCTGAATAAGTGACAACCTCACTGGACTTGATAAGCAATTGTCTCTGCTTTTGAAGAAGCTCGTCTCCTGAACATATAGCGAATGGACTTCATCTCCTGCTCCATACAGTTGCTGCTGATTAGTTTTCAATTGAACATCAAGCATAAAAAAAAAGCAATCAGAGGTTCAATCTCGTGCGTAATCACAGAGGGGTTTACGTGCCAAATTCAAAATTGTGAAAGACATCATAATCAGATTTGGACTGTAATTTCACAGATTCATTAACCTGGCCATTGTTCTGGAAAATCTTTTGGAGTTAGCAACTTCCTGTTCAGCTTGCTTATCCACACCTCCCACTGAAGAGAGTTGGCTTTAATAGTCCATGAAGCCTTCTGGAGACGCTATGAAACGAGTGACCTAGTTGGATCCTGACCTGCACAAAGACTAATTCTAACAAATGGCGATGATGGAAGTTTTGACCCGGAGCCCGGCGTACTTCAAGTAGCGGAGCCCCGGGAAGACTTGCAGAGGCAGCATCTTCTGGATTAGAACGCACACCAGCTGGCAGCCACATGCCGATGACGGTTCAGTTAAGGTTGAGGCAAAGCCAGCTTATTTTTCTCCTCTGTGCTCTCGAGTTCCCTTTGTTTTGACAAAAAAGGATAGCAAGCTCTGGGTGGAGAGCCCGGCTATCCTATCCTTGGTTAGTGTGATAGCATTGGGCATGTGGTCAATATTATTCCTCTTGTTTCCATAGTGAAACGTTGATCGACGAGGGGTCTCTAACAGATCGGCTCTGACCACATCAGAAAGGCAGATAAGAACTCATGGAAAACAAATTCCAGAGCCGGCTCAACGAAAGGTCCCAGGCTATCTCCGAGGCACTTAAAGTTCCCAGACTACAAATTGCCCCTAAATGCATCTGGATGAATTTAGCGGAGTGCGTTTGTGCTTTACAGCAGAAACAAGGAGGTTTTTCAGTGACGTAGATCAGCTGGCCATCTGCTAGAATCGTGCCAACATGTCTTCCATCACCACCATCATCATCATCATCATCATCATCATCATCATCATCATCATCATCATCATCATCATCCGCTTGCTATTAGCAGGTAGAGGGCACAAAACAGGGGGCGGTTAAACCCCTAGAAAAGTCCGGACAAGTCAGCGTCATTGTGTGATGAATGGTGCTAACAAAAGGAAATCAAAACTTCCAGCAGAGCTGCAGAACAACCTTAGTTTAAGTTACATTTTGAATTTCACAGTTAAAAAAAGGGAAAAACTTTTGCATTTTTACAGTGTTGGCTTAATCTGTCCTGAACCAGAGCTAAAGAGTCCGGTCCAGCTCAGGTTCAGACTTCAAGTTAACCTTCAATTTCAACAGTTTCACTCTCACTCTGAAGAATTGTTTCAGGACGCATCGAATCCTCAAACCTCGCACTTGTGGAGTGACTCCTCTATGGATCCGGTAAAAGGACACAAGTCAGTGGGGATAGGAGACGACTCCCTGGTTATGTAAGCCCCCATTAACCACGCAGGAATACGCAGCATGTGTTCAGAGGAATGCTGGGGAGAATTGAGCAGCTCTCGTTACCAATAACCGTTTATTTGAAGATACTAAAAGTACCAGCTGGGTGGGGTTTGCACAGCAAGACTCCCCCCCCCCCGTTAATACGACCCTGGCAGCAGTTGATGATTAATCAACTGAGCCCACTGCGGGAGGATTTAGTCGCTCATTATCCCAAAGCAAAACTCCAGGGAGCCCGATCTGGTCTGAGGATCAGCGATGGGAGATTCTTGAGATTATCTGAAGCTGAAGACCATCACGTTATACCGGTCAGCCACTTAGAAAAAAACGTCTTCCTTGATACCGTTCGTCTTGACTCTCATGTCTTCTTTTTCCTCTCTCAGTGAGACTTCAATAAAGAATACTTCCGTGGCGTACGGGAACATTACCTCGTTGCTACGGGTTTCTCTTCTGCCGATTGCTTGAGATGTAGAAATTGAGAGTTTTAATAAAGCTTTTAGCCATGTTTCCTTCCCTTCTTTTGTTCACTTAGTTTAATCGACATCCATAACTTCGATCAATCTGTAACCAAGGAACCAAACTTCCTTTTTGCCGTGGGAACAAAATATAGTGCAGTGCTGCCGGGGGGCACAATCCTCAACAGATTAAGTGCTGGGAAGTAAGCTTTTAAAGCTGGAAGGCCGAGATCATCAACTTCATCAACCCAAGCACATCCAATTTCAGCTATTTTATGGATTCCTTGCAAGTCAGTCTGGATCTGAGCAACATTTAATATCCGACTTCTAAATGTCTTTATTCGGGGGTTTAGCGAAAGGACACGACGGCGCCTCTAAGGTTTAGTGCTTCTCCGAGCAGAAACTAGTCGGATTCAAATACCACCACCACCCCGAGAGGGACAATTCAGGGTGGAGGGTGGTGACGAGCTCCCTGTTTCAGTCTTATTTGCGACCTTATTCTATTTTACTCGGGGAGACGGAAGACATTTAAATGGCATCGTGCCATCGCAGATACGGGAAGAGTGCAAACTTCTTATTCATAATTCCGGTTGTCCTCGTCAAAATTAGACCCGTGTGCGCGCCCTCAAATATCACGACATGCCGACATTTCTGACAAAAAAAAAAAGTCAAACCTCTGAGCGCTATTGAGAAAACACCATCTCTTATGATTTAGTGGCATACTGGCTTGAAGTGAAAGAATTACTCTGAAAGAAGACCATTAAGTTTAAGTTTGAGTTCAGTGCTGCATACAGTTTTATTGGGGGGGGGAATGAATGGCAATACATTTTACTCTCAAGGGTAAGAAATGCATGTCGTCTTTTATCTGTTTGATTGTTTTTACTTGTCATATTCAGATGTGAACATCTTTAATCACATCTAGTAATCAGTAACTGCTGAACAGTTTATCTAAACCACTTTATTTGGAGGTAAATGAGAGTCAGAGCACACGAAAAATCTTCCAGGTCAACGCTGATCCACAAAGTACGTCTGCTACCTGTGATGGATTTAGAGATGACAGTTTGGCCTTTTGTCTGCCCTTTGTTTCCTCTAATAAACCCTGCATGACCTGTATGGTGACTGCTTGTGTTTTTGCCCTTTTAAACATCTTAGCAGTTGACTTGGTAACTTGGTTAGAGCAATGTTACCACAGATACTACAACGTTACTAAACAATGGCCAAAACTACACAAATTAGACCCTGGAAGTGACCTGTGAAACACTTTGAACTGAGCTAATTGGATGATTTATATCGATGGCTACCGTGGTTGTGCGTTGTTTTTTGAACAACCTGCTAATAAATCTAGCAGAGGAGGACGGGGCTCTTCGGTCTTGAACCGAATGCAGCAGCGACCCAGTGATCATCTGGTAAGCAGACCCCACGCCTGCCCTTTTCTCCACTCAGCTGTCTGTGAAAAGAGAAAACATGCGGTCCGGTGTCTTGTTTCAGGGAAAGTGAAAACACACACCCGCTGAGGTTTACTGTCGGAGCGGAGGAGTCGAGCCTGTTGTGACTCCGGAGCGTCGCTCCCCTTCCTTTGGATCGCATTCCCTCTCTCCACATCGCCACATGGGGTAGGGGTAAGTGACTTAAGCTCCCCCTCCTGTGACGCCCACTCTAGAAAATCAATCAGCATTCAGGTCATGCCACATGGACGGGGCGGGACACGTGACCCCTGACCCCGGCAGGGTTCTCCTCAGAGAGCGTGACAGGGATTTGTCTGTGCTGCCGGTGTCTGTCCGACGCCAACAAGGTCCTCGTGTTGGGGAGGGCGACCCGACCCCGTCCACCTTCGACACGATAAATCCAGCTGAGGAGTTCAAGGTGGGCCCGACCCGCATCCGACCCCGTCTCTGGAGACACGGCTATAAGCTCCAGCTAAGCCTTCCCCGCCCTCACCCGCCCAGAGCTGAACGGAGGAGTTTCCGTTGGTGCCGCTGGTACGCAAAACAAAGACATTTATTCGCCCTTATTTCACTCACACCCAGCTCTTGTGACATTCCAACAGTTGGGAAGTCTTGTTTCTGTCATGGGAAGTGCATGCGGGGGCAGGATTAGCATAGCGTAATTACTCAGGGGAAAGATCCGGACTCCAAGGAGCAAGACATAACCCATAATTCGCCTTTGTGCTCCCCATGCAATCGACAGTCGCTATACGATATCGGAGATAAATGTCGGAATTCAGGCTGTTA